CCAGTACTGAAGGACACCTTTGATTTCATTCAGTGGCTGAACCTAGAATGCAATCTCTGAAAAATCTTCTGATGTAGAAAGATGTCATCGTGGCGTGATGGAGCATTTGTCAGTGTAATTGTTCATGATTGACCATTATTGATTTAGAAAATGGTAATTCTAGAAAATGGTAAATCTAGATTTACAAGGTGTCATAAAAGGGATGTTGATGGTTTTTTTCTATTTATTTCCTGAGTGCAGTATGTGCAATTTTTTTTACAGTGTTAAATTGTTGATTTGATAGCATGCCTAAAAAGTAATGACTTGAAGTAACATTGTTTTAAACAAATAAATGCCCTATTGTTGTGCTAACAATCTGTTTTCTGTCTTTGTATTAACAACTTTAAGTTTTGAGTACAGCTTACTTGAGAAATTTAAGGCAATCAGTTTCCACACATTTTTCTAGTAATGTGAACAAAGCAGACTTGTTAAGAGAACTGTTTTGTTTGAGTTCTGTGCACTAAGCTTAACTTAAATCTCTAAGTTGGCTTAACTTGTCAAATTGAGTTACCAACACTCAAGTTTTCTGGTAACCTATACATTACACAAGTTACCTATACAAAGTTACAGTAAGTTTTATTAACTCAAAAATGATAAACTAATTTGCTTGAGAAATGTTAGGCAATCAGTTTCCACAGGTTTTCCAAGTAAGTTCAACTCATTACTTTTTACAGTGCAGAGGATGAGGAGAGGGTACTTGCAGTGCATTATACAAATTCACACCGTTCTCTGTGCTTACATGCGTTATGTAACCTTTCAATGTTTTCTTCTAAAGCAAGCAACTAGGACTGACCTGGCAAGGTCACATTCAAAAAGTAGTAAAAAAAAATTCAGTGTATTGTGGAATACAAATCTTTATACAATTTAGATTTCAGGTTTAATCAATTCTGTATTTAGATCTATTTTTCAAGACATCCCCATATCTTGATATTTCCATATTTAAGGGGGTGTTTACACAACACCATTTTCAACTAAAAATGGAAATCTTTTTATGCGTTTTGGCCATTTATTTACACAACAATGGCATTGTGGGGGCATAAAAAGGCAAACCTTTAAAAATGGGTTTCAAAGAACAAGATTTTGAAAACGACACCGTTATCATCTCTGTGTAAACTACAAGAGTGCAAATTTGTGAAAACAGTGACGTCATGCGGATTACTTTCTGATGGCCACTGAGGTGAAACTTTTTTCATACCTTGTGTAACACATTTCCTGTTTTCACATTGGCATTTTGAACATTAGGTATCACTAGTGAATGAAAAGTAATAATTCCATATTCATATGTTTTATGTAATCATCTGTGGGGTCAGCTGAGATAAAACTACACATTTCCTGACATGATTCTCTGATGCTGGACATTATTATATCGCACAAAGAAAACGCGGAGAATGTGCCCACTGGCCAAAGACACTGAACGCCTCTGTGATTATTTTCTGTATGATGGGCTGTTGTGGCTGAATGTCCTTCATGAAACCTTCAGAGCAAACTGATCCCATTTAAATGGACCTTTTAGTCTGTGAGGAAATTAGGTGGCTTGGAAGATAAAGGAAGAAAGAAAGACTTTAATAGAAGAAGGGACCTTTAAAGGGTTAAAGATAGACCTTTCCTCTTCTTCCTTCTTATAAATGTCTTCCTGAAGCAGACTTTCTGTCTTTTTGAACAACAGCGTTAAACCCTGAGGTGGTATGACCCTTAATAAACAGGAACCTCTGTGAGCAATGCTGCAGAGACACATGATGCTATAATGAGATTATTCATTAAAAATTCTTCTGATATCTCTCTCTCTCGTTAACATATACTAAAGATGTATAAAAACGGTTTCTCTCTCTTTAACATATAGGCCTACTAAAGATGACAAACTATTTTCCTGTTTAACACTGTAAAGCTGCTTTGACACAACCAATATTGTAAAGCGCTATACAAATAAAGGTGACTTGACTTGACTTAAAGATGTCACAAATGCAGAGAACCGCACAGCTATTTTCTTTTGACAAAGAGAAGCCATGGCTGTAACACAGGTTTAGACACTGGTGCTTAATCATATCAAACACAGCTTCTAGTCTTCAGTTTGATCGCAGATCCATTGTGTTAATACGGAGATAGGACTTATATGATATTAAATTGCTGATTGTTTTCTTTCAAGTCTTTAATTTTTCATCATATAATTTATTAATTAATTATATTAGAGAGGTTTATCAGACGTTTCGCATGACATTACTTCAACAACAGAGCAAGGATCACTTAGCAAGCAAAGAGAGGCCAGCCAAAAGGAAACTCTAAACACTGACAAGAAGGAAGAATGGAAAAGTATTTACACAAGTAAAGCACAGAAGTATATATGTTAAGCCTTTCAGAGCACAATGTCTGTGCTTGTGGTGTGAAACTGTGGATCACACAGGCCACAGTAGCAAACTACTATTAAGTTTCAGTTTGTGTCACAGAATATTGTAACTGATCGGTCCCTCTCAGCCAAAATAGTTTTTGTTTAAGCCATTAGAGCAGAACAAAGTGGTTGGACAAAATGTTACAAATGCACGGGTAAGGATATCATCCTACACGAGTAAACAGCTTTTTTATAAAAAGCACAATTGTGCAGCATAGTCAAAATGTCGTGCAAGTTGATTGAGTTATTTATTAGGAAAACAATGTCTTTATATGCACTTAACTTAACAAGCACACAAAAGTGTTATTAAATTCAGTTTTTAAAAAAACAAAACATGATGGCTTCCCTTGTTTTTTTTCTGTTGGGAAAACTGCCAGTGTGTCTGCAGAGTACAGCTGGACACATCTTGAGTGGAGCAATCATGATCTAAGGATCAAAGCTTCATTTAATGATACAATGAAATGAAATGGAGCATAAATAAATGGACGTGTGGGACAGATATTGAAGGTTATTTGTTGCAGTACTTCAGATGAAAAGTAATGGATAGTTTATGTATTCCAAAAGTCCTTTTGTTTGTGTTACCGGAGCAACGTGTCTCCCATTAACAAAGGTTGTACACAATAGAGCACAGTATTTAGAAGTACTAAAGGTCACTGACTCCACCCTGCCCGCTATATTCTGCCCAACTGATAAGACTCTCTGTCTAAATGAATTTCCTTTGACTGTATACTCTAATTAGTATCCTTCCTCTCAACTATCTAGCATCAGATATCAAGAGTTTTTTTCTTTGAAAAGGTCAGTTTATTTTTCTTCTTTTGTTAGCTTTCTTCCTGCCATACCAGTGCTGCGCTTGGGTTAAATCCAACCTTGAAACTCTGGAGACATAATACTAAAACATTTTAGTAAAAGGTGCTGTGTGTAACTTGTTCAGGAAACTCATTTGAAAATTATTTTTAGGTTAGAAAATGTACTTTTCTGTATTATTTTTACATTTTACAAATACATTTTGTGACACTGGTGCACAACTTATACTCTTTAAGGTCAATTATTAACCACAGTGTAGAAAGAAGAGAATCTAAACAAGGAAAGGTGATTTGCATTAGAGATACCTGTGATATGGTGTGTTTTACTGAAGGGACATTATGTTTCTTGATAAAGAACAATGATAAAGCCAAGTACTACTGCAGGAAATGGATTTGTGCTGATTTTGATCTAATCCACATTTTAATCACTACATTTTTTGTCCATATATTCTGTGTATATGTATAAGCCCTTACTCTGTGAGACTTGGCTACTACCACCCAAGAAGATAAGCCACTGTGATCGACCTATAACAAAAGGTATTTCAGGACCTGAGAGAGAGCATGAAGGAGAGACATGAATGGAGCCTCGGTGAGTGGCATCAGATAACAGGGTCAGAAAAATAAATGGAGCCCTGGGAGCTGTTTTAGTCTTTTGAATGAACTGCAGATGAAGGCACTGGTGCAACAAATAATGAGGGCATCATTTGGACACACTGTAAAAGTGGCACAGATTCATACAACACAGTTATCTGCAGTAAAAAATATTTTTTGAAGTTAAAGATTACTGGAGTACATTTTATAAGAAAATTCTACTAGTCTTTCTACTTCAAAATTTCATGTTAATTCAATGTGTTACTGTTTATTTAAATAGCTTTGAAATTTACTAGTAATTTATGAGTGAAAACAGTTTCTACACCACATTTTTTCAGAGTAGTTTCACTTTGTTGTACATGTAAGAAGAGATTCAAGTGTGTTTTTATTTTTTCCATATAAAAGCAAAAATGAAGTAACCGAGTATGATAGCATAACTGAGTTATGAGCGGAACTGAATCACATTTTTGGTTATGTTCTGTCCTGTGACAGACGGGTGATCATAGGAAAGGAAGAGTGAAAATTAATATTAAATCCATCAAAAGTCCACCAAAAACCTTTGAGCCCTTTTTCTACAGTTTCAGTACTGGATTACTTACTGCATCTCTTTGCCTTTGTATGGCTGTAATTATTAGTCAAAATTAATTTTTAAGAATTTACACTTCTACTAAATTATACTAAATTGTTGAATTTTCTTATACTATATACTAAACTGTTGAATTTTCAAGTGGCAATATGATGTCCAAACTTTCCATATTTACATTTTTCACTTGAATTGTCATGTTTAACTATATTTTAATACATATTTGGGCACTGCAATAAGACCCTCCATAAGAGAAATATCAAGTTTTGATGCACTACAGATTAAATGCCTGTGTGTGTGAGACTGTGAAAGAGAGAGCGTGAGAGAGAGATGTGAAAGGCACAGTGGGGTTTTATGTCCGCGTGAGTGTATGCATGAGATGCAGTGTGCTTGATGTCATCGTGTTGATGGGCTGCTTTCGAATACATGTTTTAGCAAATCACATTAGCCGCCTCGAAAGCTTAACATGACGATTATTCATTTAAGGGCAGCAAAAGAACAACAACAACATACGACAGGCGTGGTCGCATATAACGCTGCGTATATTCTTACAGAGTGGCATATTGAAAGCTGTGCTTGTGCCCATACATAAATAACCTACCTTGTGTTTGCTTGCGCGATTGTTCCTGTCCTCCTTGTCGTGGGGCTCTGGCCACAGTTGACTGCTGGAGCCGTACGGGGGGCTGCTGTTGTCACTACTAGACACCGACGAGTTTCTCTCTAGCGCGCGCTCGCATTGATACGGCTGACTGAGTGCGATTTTCCCCTCCTGGTACCCGCTGCTGTCTCTGTCACTCTGTTGCCGCTGGAGGCTGTGTTCCTGCGCGCGACCCTGCTGATGCTGATGCTGATGCTGCAACAGCGGCGCCTGCTTGTTTCTGCACACTTGCCCTGATCCGCTGATGCAGTAGTTGATGGGAAAGCTGCTGCCCAACAGTAACTGAGCCTGAGGCTCAATTAATTGCCTCTGCTTTTCTGCTTCCTCGCGTGCATTTATCTGTCCTTGACCAGAGTTTGGCAAGAGTAGCTCAAAGGAGGGGTCCCTTTGTTGATTATAACAAGGTTGCTGCAGCAACTGGTTTTGGTCTCGACGCCCCCCCTCCCCGACGCGACGCTGTAAGATGTCTTGTTTGTAATTAGCACTCTTTTGGCGCGTATCCCGCGTATTAGAAATGTGCGAAGGCAGAGGCGGCGGCAGCAGATCAGATGGGGAGGGCTGCGGGGAAACGGAAGATTTGTGCTGAGGAGAATGGCTGCTCTGCGAGAGCCCCTCAAAATGACACTGATAGCCAGATGAGGCCCCTGGAATCGGATGCGGCAGGTTGTCGTAAGGCGCACGGTCACTGTGCGCGGGGCTGCAGTGGCCGGTCAAAGGCACGCACTCACCGTTCCTGGTGCCGCGGTCCGGACAAGACTGTACATGTCGGCTGTGATGTGAGGAGGTGGATCGCTCCTTTATCGATGGCGGTGGGGGCGGCAGACTAAAGAGCGCGGCGACTGGACGAGATCCTTCCTTTTGACTGTCACGAGCGTCCGTGTCGTTGCTGTGCTGCTGGTGGACAGCTCCCGCGTGCCGATGCCGCATCCCCTCAATATCCGCGTCTTGTTGTGATTGCTCCTTTGCCTTGTAAAGCACCGACACCCATTCATTGCGATGTGCCCCAAAAGAACCGAACTGCCTCGTCTCATTGGTGGGCTCGAGCGAGACCTGCCTCTTGACGTCATCGCCGAGATGAACACCGCCCTCGTGTGAAAACCGCTTTATGTTTACAGCTGATAAGATTAAACCTGAGATGCGAATTGGGTATTAGCAAGGTCATGCACGCGGCGAAAGCTGCATGGATGCCTTGTCGGGATTGACTTTTTCATGCCTGTGCCATTATTAAAAAGAGCGAGCATTAAACACTTCAGGGGAGAGGTGCACCTCTTTTATAAATTGCTTATGCTTATTGCTTGTTGTTATTATTTATGGCGTAATGTATGGCCAAACCTGCGCGTACATACATAACCGAGTGTTGAGTGGAAGGCAATAGCTAGTTAAGCGACATCACACAAGCATATTCGGTATACAAGATTATTGCGTTGGAATTATCATGTTTTAATGGACAAGGATTAAAACAACGAATGAATCATTCAGACATCATATTTGAATCAGTTTGATCAAGTGTAGAGAACAAACTCAAAAGAAAAATTTGCTCACAAAGATCATTAGCAAGAGGGTATTAGCCTACAAAAATATCAATTGAATTGAATAATGGTATATTCATTATAGAAATCTCTATGTATCTTTCATTGTAAGATTTTATTCATTTACATGATGTTTCACTATCCCTACATTCCTTGATATTTCCAGGTTTTCCATGACTGTGGGAAATTACACTTCATAATTCTAAAACTTACATTTTAGACAAAATGTATAATGTGATTGTGTTAAAAAATGCTCTTTACTCCAGACAGTTGCTGCTCACTACTCTGCACCAATCACACACTCTGGTCTAGAATGCCATGAACACAGAAAAGAAGATTGATACAGCGAAACATTCCAGTGCTGTTATTCCAAATCAATAAACTTTGCGACCGGAACTGACTGTTGTATAATGTGGAATAAATCACACTTGAAAAACACAAGGATGACCAATGAAGAATGGATCTTCCATTTAAACACAAGGTGCTCCGTCCTTGACTGACACACACACTTATCATGTTGTTCATTCTATAATAAATTTACTATGCTGTCCTCACGTAGTTAATTTTAAAAGATAATGCATATTCCATTACCAAAAAATACATTAAAGAGTTGGACACTGGGAAAATTATGAAGAGGTTTTTATCTGATTCTCTGCTGTCATATCCCCCAGAAACATTTTCAATCAGAATCATTTATGCGCATGCGGTTGTTAAATATCTCAACAAGTGCAGACAAACAGTTCTCAAATAGAAAGAAAAAAAATGGTTGTAATTTTGTATCTTTAAATAAATTCTCCACCCACACACATATTCCAGCTTGTGCAATAAGAGGTCTCAGTATAATTTTCATCTTCAATCACAGAATGCCAATTCATCATTCAATGTCTGTGTGATAAAACTCACATTTTACATGTTAGAGATGAAAGACTTCAAGCATTTGTGAAAGCACAGATATAAATAACTTTCCTCATTAATATTAATAGTTTATTGAGGACATCCCATTATGCTGGATGATAATAAGAATGGAGATGAGTGTTGGAAAGAATGAGGATAAAGATGCTCTCTTTGGTCCTGAAATAGACCAAACCATGAGAGCTGTTGATCAGGTATTGCATACATTGTGAGGACTAAATAGTCGCAAGGAGAGTGAAACCTGAAATCACCTACAATCCTGGGACTAATGGTCACCACATGAAAAATAGCTTAATATAAAACAATATGAGAAATAACTTTAAACTAAATTCTATAAATACAGAAAGATCTGTGTGGCATGCATGTTTATTGAACAGAATTTGCTCAGTAAAAAGAAAACAGATGTAAAAGAAAGTCCCAAACATTACAAAAAAATATTATTTGCTCCTATGTATTAAGGCTCGTACAAGTCAAAGTCATAAAATCTAACCAGATTTATTAATAGAAAACTGTAACTAAATAGAAATATCAATATTGATGATATCACCAAAAATAAGAAATTGCAACTGAAAATGAAAATTGTAACTGTTGTAACATTGTGATACATAATATACCCTAACATTTTTAAGCTTTGAAGTAAAAACAACATTTTCAAAATCCCATTATTTCATATTGGTTGAGTTTTAGTCCCAGCATGTCAGATGGCAAGAGATATGCACAGTAAATGTCAAGGCATTTTGCAATCCTGTCCATTATTTTTGCTAGATTCACACTCCATTATTGTATTATGAGTACAACGTACAGTGTTACACTGTTATCAAAATTATAAGTAAAATACAGCTGTGTAGTTTTGTATTGTATTTTAATCAATATGAACAGAGAAGAATTTATCAGCCAGGGTTGATTTACTGTAGTGCATCCCAAAATAAAGTACAACAGCCAGCATGAAAACGTAAACTGAATCTCTCTCTCACACACACAGACACACATATGTAATGCTTCAAATGCCTCTAATTTGAATAAGAATCAGGCATTTTTTTGCCTGATTTTGCAATGGACGGAATGCACAATTCAACATGCTGCATACAGTCCCTCACGTCTGACTGACTGACTGAGAGACTTTACCTCTGAAACATGCATCACAGGGCAATGCAATCTATGGAATGTAATGAGCATGATACAATAAATTAGCTCTTTGACATACACAGATAATTTGAGGGCAAATGAAGGACCTGAACTGAGCTGACATGAGTCGTGATCCACAAAGATTATTCTAAATAGTGGGAGAGGATGAGGACCAGACCTAATACACCAGATATGCTTGCATTTTAAAACAGAAATTACATTCAATTTGCTCAAGCACATATTAAAATGTCATATTTTATGCCAGTATGAAAAGCAAGAAATCTAAAGAGTTGAAAGATTTGTTTGTTTAAAACAGAAAGCCTTGATGTAGTGTTTGTTTGCACTGTAGCTTGAATCATTTAGGACCCTTTCAGCCTGGATCTATCGCTCATACTGGTTAAGAAATGTATTTTTCATTTTATTTATTTACAAATTTATTTAGCTTTTTGCCGCTTTATTAATGTTGCAGTTGTCAAGAACGATGGAGAATATTTTCATACTGATCAGCGTTTTATGTGAAATAGATTTAGTTATTAATGCCACTATAGTTTCAAAACAAAATAAGACCATAACTTAACGCAAAACACAAATAAATGAAATAAATAAATAAATCAGAGAGTAGAAGAAAAAGGCCCTCGCCAAATGTGATTATAAAACAAACACTTAGTAAAAGGCACTTGGATTTATGGAGGGGTGGAGGGTGTCACATATTTTGAATCTTCCCTGACAAAGGTTGTCTGTATAAATGAAAGGGCAACATGAAGATAGGTCAGAATAAATCATCACAAAGATATGCTTCAAAGGCCTTGAGAAATCTTCTTTCATCACCTCTGGTCTGCCATTTTAAGGCTAATACTAACAGAGGGAACCACATGAAATACCAAATGTGAGGCAGTGAGCTGTGGCATTAAAACTTAAATGTCCAGTAAGTTACAGAATTTCCACGTTCTTACCTTAAACGTCTACACATCTTCATTCGGATCCTTTTGAACGCTCCTGACAATGACATCAGCACTATAAATAAAATAATATAAAATACACACGTACACATATATAAACAGATTTAAAATAAGTAGCGGGCGTAGTTTTCCCGGATAAAAAAAGGTAGCCCAGCACCGACACAATTCCTCGTTGTCTTGTGTGGAGATTCTCGGTCTAGTTACGGGCTTGCCCTCCAGCGCGTGAATATGCGTGCGCCCAATGGCGCGAGGACTCTCCGTGTCTCCCCTTCACTTTCATCTCCCGAACTGGTACGTTTGCTTCTTGAAAGGTATCTCAAAACGGAGAATAATGGAAAACACTTCCTCCGCAGTTAATTAGGCTATATACGTCGTGACTAATTGAGGGGAAAAAGCACAAATCCACGCGAACGTGTATTTCACGTGCAGCAAATAGATCATTGGTCGCAAGATCCACACTGGACCGTCACGCTGTAGTATTGATCGAGGATCGTGAGAGGAGGGTTATATGACCTTGTGACGTGTTGTAAATTGATGGGGGGGATCCCTGTTCTATTTTTAGATCTTGGTTGTGGAGAGACTAGCGGGGGTGGATGAATAGGGTGGGGGCTCTGGGGTTCCCGTGCACGCACAACCCGCAGCAAAATTGATCATAGAATGGTGCTCATGCAGCATTCAGAATAAAAGGATTCTACATATGGACGCACCATTGATGGAGACACCATTTTGCTGATCTCTGTTGCAAGGACTATTGCTGCCTTTACATCCTCGTGGTTTTTATAATTGCATGGAGCTAATTATATAGCAAATATATTTTTGTAGCACGTGGACAAACATGTTTCAGCATGTTTGATTGCTTTTTAACGATGTTTGTATTCAATGGTGTTATTTTTATTGTGCATAAAATTCCCGAGACGTTTTTGAGTATCATTAGGATTCATTATATTGTGAATCTTTGCTGATACATAACATCCTTTATAGATTGATACACTGCTGCTGTTGTGGAGTCTGTATTGTGTGTACTGGCGAATATGCGCAGTGCAGGAGTGTGTGTTGTATGTCTCAGAATGACAGACATTTTGCACTTGTTTGCAGCCTGACAGTGAATTTAATCTGGCAGACAACTTTAGTATGGAACATCAGCTTTGTGGCATGTTTCACTGGAAATTGTCAAGTCAAGTACAGGCCCAGTCATGGCAATATTCTCTCTGCGGTGTAATCTGAGTTATGCTATCAACGATTTCTCCTAATTTCAAACATCTCTTGAATGTCTTTCTTCACTCTTAATGAATTTGTAGGTTTAGTTATGCAAGGAAAAGAATATTACACAACACAACTGTAGCCTACACAGTGGTGCAAGGTGCATCAGAGTTGAGAGTAAAGCATGACTCTTTTTCAATTATCTTTTAAGAGGATTATAAACCTTTGTGCATGAGGTTTGCCCAGGGGCCATTATTTGACATACAAGCAGCCTGTCATTTAAAACAGAGTTTAATGG